AAAAAAAAAAAAAAAAAAAATTGAATTAAACAAAAGTGAAAAATAAAAATCTGCAATGTCCTCAAACACTTCTTGCTTTCCCAGCTTCCCTGCCAACTTAGACTCCTTTGAGACCAGCTCATCAGTCACTTCTTTGAAGCCTTCCTGTCCCCTTGAACCTTAGTCAGATAAGCTTAACTGAATGTTCTCTCAAACTATGTTTGATCAGCATTCTTAGTTACAAGGTGATCACTTATCATTTATGGCAATTATCATTTTTCTTTTTAGTGTACCCAACAAAAACAAAGTCTCTTCAAGGACAGAGATTTTTTTACTTTATCTTACTCTTCCCAGAATTTATGCCTGGCACATAACAAGTACTCAATAAATAATTGTTGCATGAATGGATGAATGAACAACTTAATAGTAAATGCTCTATATTTTGATGGGCTGCACTTGAAGGCCATCCATTACTTATTGGGGGCAATATACCCGTATGCTGTGCTTGTCACATTCACAGCTCAACTTGGCACCTTAAACTGGAAGCCTTTTTGTGTTTGCTACTCTAATGCAGGTGGAGAAACCTAATTACATGTGCCCTCCGTAAGCACACAAGCCCTCGAAATAGGATTGCTAGATTTAGCAAATAAAAGTACACATTGCCCAGTTAGATTTGAATTTCAGATAAACAACAAATAATATTTTGCATATGTCTCACATATTATTTATACTAAAAAAAATCACTGCTTATCAGAAATTCAAATTTGACTGATGTAATGTATTTTATGTGGCAGCTCGACCTCAGAGACAAATTCTCAAATGCTGTCTTCCTACGTTCCGATCCAGTAATCCTCACAGCATTTTATGAACAATGTAATTTTATCATCTGTATTAAATAAATACGCAACCAAAGTCTCTCAGCTCTGCTTGCTAAAATTTTTACATATATTTAAACACTCTAATTTCTTCAAAAACTCTTTTATAATATTTTCACAGCAGAGTTAGATTCTAATTTATAATAAACTGGCTTCTTAGCCACTGAACAGAATTGGATTTGTAAGGGAGGATTCCAGTGACTCTTTCCATCAGTTCTCTGGGTGTTTTCTTGTAGCCTCTGTTCTTCAGGATGTCTTAGTTACAGGGAGATTCTCCTCCGGTGCGGCTCCCATCAGCCATTAGAACCCTGCAGAGCTGCCTGGGGTGTAAAATGCCACTTCCCTGTGGTAGGAAAGCTACCCAGGCCACCTGGGCTGGCCTCCCTCTGCAATTATTACATGTTTTTACAGACTGGGCTCTCCACGACAAAGCCTTTTTTTCTTTTTAAATATGGAACACTTCACTAATTCGTGTGTCATCCTTGTGCAGGGGCCATGCTAATCTCTTCATTGTTCCAATTTTAGTATATGAGCTGCCGAAGCAAGCACTGACAAGATTTTTCTGAAAGTTAAAAACACCATCTGATCTGCAAAGAGGCATTTTCAGATTTCAGTTTCTTAGCGCTGGTAAATGAACATGCAGGCCAAAAATCCAGGCAACCAACTTCAGCTGCACATATTTTCGTTTCAAAGGCACAGTTCCCATTAAATCACATTCCCCTGAAGCTTCAAAGTAGATGGCAGTTCTACACGACACATCCTTGTGTTACACGTAATTAATTTTCGTGTGGTTCTAGAAAGAAAATGTCACAGGTACCATCCCTTCTTTAATATCCAAACTTGAAAATTACAACCTAAACACAATCCCTAGGTGTCTAAATTCATGCAAAACAATTGTTTAGAACTCAAAAATAGTAGCTTTGCGGTCTGAAAAAATCACAAAACTTCACCTATCACTAAGAAGTGGCTATTGGAATTTGAGAGAATTTACATTTGGGGGAAAAAGGGACAGGATAAAAGGGGCTGGGGGTGGGGGTGGAATGTGGCTTAACTTGGCCGAGAAGCATGGGGAAAATGGTCAGTTCGGGAGTGTAAAATCAAGTTGCCAGGGCCACGCTAAGCCTGGAACTTCACCTCTGCATTTGGTGAGAATCCATCCAGAAACCGGCAGTAACCTCCCAGTCAGGGCAGAGTGTAAGAGTGGAGGGTAATGCCTGACAACAATTTTTAGCAGAACAGACATCTACCACCGAGAAACTATCAGAGGAGAAATGCAGCGAAAGGAGATTTTTCATCTTTGGCAATGGACTGAAAAGATATTTAATGGGTCAAGAGCTTTACTTCCGGGAGACCAGTCTTTTTTATTCAGTTGTTTCAGTAACTATTGCCTAGTAATGAGATTAATTCAAAACCTTGGAGCGCAGGAGAATGTATCTTGGAAGCTCACGTTGCAAAAATCTGGAGCATTATTTATTTTGTCTTAAAAGTAAGACAAAAATAAACTACTGCCTGTCAATCATAAGATTCCAACCTGAAGGAAAGTTCTTTGACGACGAAGGATGAGGAGGAAAGAAACCTCGTAGATTATTCAACCATGAAAACTGTTCTATAAAGGGAGGTTAAGTTTTCTGATCGTGCTTTGCTTCTTAAATAAAATTACCTTATTTTCTAGTAATTTTTAGTAAGCTAGAATTTGTCAATACACCTGTCAAAATGGAATTTTCTTTGCTTCAGAAACCATTCATTTTTAAACCTGTTGCACTGGGTGCCTTTATGAAATTATTCCTTTTGTCCTGTTCCCGAGTTCAGCAGCTCTCTTCTGTGCCAGAGTTGATATTGTAGGGCTTCTTTCGGTTTAGATTTGGGGTATTTTTTAAACTTGGTTTTGAGGAAGCCTAGTCATTCCCACATTATTCACCCAGTTGCAGACTTAGTGTTTCCCTAGGAATTGTTAATTTTATTTGCGCTAGGAAAATAGAGACCTCGATTCACGTTTTGGCTGACCAGGAGCTGCACGCCAGGCCCACAGAACAGAAACCTGGGGCAGGAAACGCGTGGGCGCCTTTAAGACTAAGCCGAGGTGGTTTTGCACCGCCCGGCCGGCCCCGCCCACACGGCAGGAAGCTGGGCGGGGCGGAGCGCGCCTCCGTTGCCAGGATACCGCCGCCTCCGCCCGGGCTCCCAGGGCTGCTTTGTTTCCAAGATGGCCCCTGAGTCCTGTTTTAGCGCGCCCGGGGCAGAGTCGGTTGCCTGTCCTTGATGTTAGCAGAAAGTTAGAGTTGTATGGCTGGTTTTAAGAGTGTTCGATGTCAATACCTATTTACTATTATAACGCTTAGAAAAATCTTCCGGTTAGATTGGATGGGAGAAAAATCCAGAGAGTGCCTCCAGATGTATAAGCCGTGGTCTTTTTGTGGCGGGGTTTTCACATTCCTTGTTCTTTTGATAAGAATTATGGTTTTTCCTGCCGAACTAGTCCTGATAGTTAAAGTGCTGTGACGCTGAACTATAGAAACCATATAATTACGTTGAGTTGAGTCGGGTAATGATGCCCCTCCCTGACGGTGTATACTCCCTTTGTAAAAATAACCTGTTGATATTTCTGTTTTTCTTTTCCTCGAAATGTTTGTACCCAGATCTGATCCTATAGTACCATTATAATTATTGTTAAGTTGTAAGATCCTTTAGGGACAGAAATTTTGTTTTAAAAATCTTTGTATCTCAGAAATGTTTCTGCTGGTAACAAACCCTTCAAATAATGTTGCTGAATAATACTAATAGTTACTGAGCCATTTTACTCCACTAAACAGTAAGCCTTAAAGTAGGTACCTCCATTTTATAAATAGAGAAAGGAACGGGGAGGCTAAATAATTGCCTTAAATGCCACAACTAGTAAATTGTAGAACCCGGCATTGAAACCAAAGTCGTTTGAGAAGAGCCCGCTCGCTAGGCAGCCATTGTGCTTTATTACCTTTGTGAATTCTATATATATATATATATTTTTTTTTTTTTGAGATAGTCTCACTTTGTCGCCCTGGATAGAGTGCTGAGGCGTCACAGCTCACAGCAACCTCAAACTCTTGGACTCAAGCAATTCTCTTGTCTCAGCCTCCCAAGTAGCTGGGACTACAGGCGCTCGCCACACCGCCGGGCTATTTTTAGAGGCAGGGTTCTCCTCTTACCCAGGCAGGTCTCCAACCTGTGAGCTCAGGCACTCCACCCGCCTGGGCCTCCCACCGCGGCGTCTATAAGTCTTAGGGAGGTGCTTGATTACTTATAAGCGCCGCATTTTCAGGGAGTAAAGTGAAAGCCTTTACCTGTATTATGCCCCTCTTTGTTAACAGATTTTTATATCAAGTTATTAGTCGTCAGGGCAGTTTAGATGCTTACCTCTGAGCTGAAATATCCAAACCTAGCCAACTGAGGTGTCAGGTGTTGGGAAAACATAATTAAAAGTTCTGCCAACCCCCCAAATCTCTCCGGAAAAATCAGAAGAAAAACAGTTTTATCGAATAAGCATCAAACCAAACCAAACCATGATGCGCATCACAGGAAATCAGCTGAGAGATTGCAGAGTCAGAAATGTCACCCTTTTACATACCTCTACCAACACACACTGTTGCCATACACGTTTTCAAGATAAACAATAACTAGTCCCCAAATAACAGGCCTTGACATCATTTGTAACTCATAGTTTATCTGAAATTCTCCTGGTAATTGGTAATCTGTGTGAGCTAATTAGCCTCATTAGAAGGAAAAATAAACATGTATGCTAGGACAGTAGGTTTGCTGCTTGGAGTAAGGCACCCAACAAGAGTTAGACTCCTATCCTCTAGGAAATAGGGACGCTGCCTTCTGTGGTGATTATATTTCAAAGAGGCAGCTCCCAGGTCATTGAGAAAGGCATTCCTGGGTTGTAAAGCTGGCAAGAAGTTTATTTAGCCTTTAAAAAGATTTACATACTTCTCAAAGCCATAGGGAAAGACTTTACCATTACCAGTTCTCTCAAATGCTGAAAGAAAGGGAAGGAGGGGAGTCTTTCTCCATAACTGCATGAGGGACGCTTATTTACATTTTAGATCTGTATCTGTGTCAGGATTCAGAGAGAAGCTCTTTCAATCAGAGTCTCCCTGCATTCGACTTTACACCTCACTGGCTTACGCTTTCCACAGACATACTGAGTCAAATAGTAGGAAGCTGGAAGTATATTACCAAATAGTGAGGGTTAAATTCTCTATTTTGATTCAAATTCTTACTTCTTAATTTCTCTGAAAGTAAATCTAATTTCTAGCAGATGCTGAAGTGTATTTGCATGTTGCACCAGACCAGGAAAATGTGTCTAAGAAATTCGAAATAGGCAACTGGCTTTGATGTTCTTTTGAGTTCAGTCTTGGCTCCTGGGTTCCCCTTTTCACTGTGCAGCACTGGAGATGCCTGGCAGGGAGGATGTATTCCCTCCAGAGCTTCAGATACTTGTGCTTCTAGCATACCACCTTAGCTTCTTTTCCAAAAGACTCAGGCTGCTCGTGGCTCCATGTCTTAGCACGTGCTGATACCTCAGCCTTGTGCACCTTCTCCCACATTTCTGCTTGCTTAGCTCAACTAGCAAGACAGCTCACCTAGCCTTTCCTTCTGGAATTCCTCCCTGACCTGCCTCCTGCTCATTCATCTGCATCTGATTTGGTCTGCCCGGGGTTCCCAGACCACTTGGCAATTTCCCCTATTATGACATACAGATAGCTAGTGTCATATTTAATTTTCTAGTCCATAAGATTCTTATTTTATATTTAAATATCTTATTTTTATTCTCAGCACATCACAGCAGGATACGTACCTACATAGTGGATCGGAGATGTCAGACTGGTGACCTTAGGCCTACAGTCCTCCAAACATTTGTTTGTCTCTTTCATAAATATTTTTAAATTTAAGGCCACATTTTATAATCACGGTTTACATAGAAATCAGGAACTCCAGCTTCTCTTGAAGAATAAGATGGTGGCCAGCTGGGTCTGCTTCTACGTGGCAGCAGGTGTCAGGCTTAGAAATGTGGCTGCCAGGCTCGGCGCCTGTAGCTCAACCGGCTAAGGCGCCAGCCACGTACACCTAAGGTGGCGGGTTCGAATCCCCAGCCCGGACCCGCCAAACAACAATGACGGCTGCAACCAAAAAATATCCGGGCGTTGTGGCGGGTGCCTGTGGTCCCAGCTACTTGGGAGGCGGAGGCAGGAGACTCGCTTGAGCCCAGGAGTTGGAGGTTGCTGTGAGCTATAATGCCATGGCACTCTACCCAGGGGGACAGCTTGAGGCTCCGTCTCAAAAAAAAAAAAAAAAAGAAATGTGGCTGCCGTTTTAGATGGGACATGAACTGTCCACTTTGCTAGAGCTGCTGCTATTCCTTAATTGCTTCCGTATTGAAGCTAAGTGTGACGTGTCATTTATATGGAGTCTGCACTGATGTTTTCCTTGAAGTTAAATATTTCTCAATACCAAAAAAGAGAAAACAAAACTAACGCATCATCCAAGAATAACGGGAGGAAGCCCATTTCTTA